AAAAAAAAAAAAAAAAAAAAAAAAAAAAAAAAAAAAAAAACAGACATATAGTAAGAACCACATTAAGATGAAGTATTATATATTGAACATTTTTCCATTTAAATGTTAAAAAATTATTAATAAAATCAAAATTATTAGGAAAACCTTTATTAAAAATTATAGAATTTGTAAACATTAATATTATAATTAAATATTAAGAAGCATTATGTATGCATACATATTTATATGCGTTGGGCGAGTAGCCTATCCGGCTCGACATTTGGAATATTAATACAACATTAAACTTGAGCACTGTTTAATATTAATTATATTAATATTTAGAACTTATAACACACCCAAATATTAAAAAATAAGAAATATATCCTTCTATTTTTTTTATCTCTTTTCCATTTAATCCTTTTATATAAAGTAGCATCGTTATTTATAATAGGGATCTTATCTGATCCCATACATCACACTTGTCATATGGAGAATATGAATATTGAATTTTTTCACTACTTGCTACTTTGTAATTTAGTATTAAGTTGAGAAACAGAAACTTTATTAAATTATGTGACGAGAAATTTTCAACTTTTAGTAGTTGCCAAGTAATCTTTCGCATTAACACGTCATTTGAAGCGGCGTATCTATTGTTCGTACGCATATTAAACAAAAGAAAACTTCAAATCACCCACATCATAAAAGTAACTACGATTTCCTCGATGATTGTTTCCTGCCATTGTGTTTTCGAAGGTCGTGAACTTACTTTGACTTCGGGTCATGTTAACATAACCTAACATTTGAATTATTAATATGAAAGAATTTAGAAATTTTAGAGCTAATTTCTATAAAATTACTCGGGTGTGTGAACAGTTTTGGAACAAAGGTATGAATTTCCGTTCCACACACCCAGAGAAACAGGATGTCTTTAACGTACACCTCAGTGCATCGAGAGGACAAAGAAACATTCTTGTGGTTAATAAGGTTATCACTTTGTATAACTTCCTTCCTGCATGACTTGTTTAGTGTCGCCATCTAGAGCCAAAAAATAAAATAAAAATTAAGTGTTTTCCCCCCCTCCTTGTATTAATAGATTAAATATCATATGATCCACTTTCTAACTTTTTAAACGAACTTATACGAAGACGAATTGTTATAACAAAACATATGCCTATTATGTCTCGTGTTAAAAAATAATTTAAAACTTGTTGGACGAAGCTATAAATAGATATATATCAATATTTATTATGCATTAATGATGTTATTGCATGTTCTTTATTTAACCTTAAGTATAGTCAATATATAATAAACCCAAACTTTAATTTGCATTTGAAGTTATTCATACGCTACTGCAGTCAAGCATGGACCTATGGAATAATTTTGCAGGCTATAGCACTCTCATATAGTACACCTTATTTGATATTTTGAATACTCTGTTTACAACTTTTATACTTTCAAGGCTAACTTGTAGATTTATAACCTGCATTTATTAAATTTATAATTAATTTATTTTATTATAGACCTTATTAGAATTATATAAGACTAATATATTTTTTTTTTCATGGACAATTGTTTAGAATGAATACAATGAACTGTGAAAGAACTTAATTATGCGAAGTTCTAGATCTGTGTTAACTCAATTTTCTTTAATATGTTTTAAAGGTTTTCAAAATATTTTTTTAAATTCATATAGAAAAGTTTCTTTTTGCTTTTCATCTTATTACAGACAATTTCAGACAAGGTTACCTCTTCTAAACACTAAAGACACCGTTACATTTCCATCTATTCAATGATCTCAGCCAGCATGTGTCATAAAAGAGTATTGTGATAGGAAAGGAAGTCCTTGAGGGCAGGAAAAGGGGAAGTTTCAGACTCGTGAAAAAACAACGATTCGGGAGCCAACATATCAGAGCAACTGCTGATTATATATAGATAACCAGTTTTTTTAAAAAATTGTAATTGTTTTACCACATTTCTTAGCCCGTAATTAATGTGGTTTTCAAGTAATTTCAAATTGTCTGCTGTTAGATATTCTTAATATAGATAAAATTATTCATACAATAGATCCTTTAGTGTACTTTATACGCTTGGTTGTACAATGAACAATTGTAAAAAATTCAATGTAGTCCAACAACTGTTTTCCTGTAACCCACGGTGTTTAATAAGAAAGAATATCATTAGTCGTTTAACTATCTAATGCATTAGACCTCAGAATAAACTGGAAAAAAAAATCATTATAGAAATGAATAGAAACAAAACAAAAAAGTATATTGTGCCAATTTTAAAATAATATATTCTATAAATTAGAATATCTTTCATTAGATAATTTATAAAATAAATATGTCTATTAATTTCAGCAATTATTTTAATTGTGAAAGGCGTTTATCTGATCCTGCGTATCATGTTCGTTATCTTGAGAAATATAATTTAGTATAAATTAAAAACACTTTCATATAGATTAAATAATAAAGATAATACTTATTTAATTTTTATAAATATATAATTTTTCTTCTTTAATTTGTAAATTTATCGTTAATTATTATCTCAATTATTTTCCATGTATAGAGTAATTTATAAATATATTTTTGTTTATTTTACTAAATTGAACTTTTTAAAACCGTATAGTTAATTCTTTTATGTTTAAATGTAGCCTTATTTATTTCATATACTATAAAAAAGAGAGGCAATTGAAACAATCAGTGGCTAAAGTTTTCAATTAGTCTTTCTTCGTTAAACTTTTTAAAAGTAGCGCATACTTCAGAATCTAAAAAAAAAATCTTTTATAAACTAATCAGATAAGGAGTATCTACTTGAGAAACTCAAGGCTCACTTAACATTTCAAACAACAATTTAAATACAAAGCTTACACTGATGCGAAAAAATTGGTTTAAAAATAATGCTAATCTTATGGTACAGAACACAAAGTTTTATTTTCTAACTTTTAAGATCGAAATAATTACATAATCTTGTAAATAAATAATTAAAATTTTCATTTGTTCTCAATTATATATTAAAAAAACTATATATATATTTATTATGAACGACGCTACTTCAAAGGCTAGTATAAAAATAAAAACAATTGTTCGTATATAATAATCGAGCGTGATTATTTCTCCTTACGCTGAACGATGGATATAAATATGGCAGTTCTGAACTACTTCATTACCATAATATTGTTTCCGTATTGAACAAATAGTCAATTAACGCTTTAGGGTTTAAATGATTATTTTGCACGCTCGTAGCACTTGTTGTATGAAAATAATTGTTTTTGTAACCAGAGGCTATAACGTACTGTACTTCAAGAGAAAATTCTAAGCCGTTTTTATAACATACGTGTTAAAAAAATAAAGAATTTCTATATTCTTTTTCGTTTTCCCCTTCTCTTTTTCTTGTGTAAAGAGACGAGATAAAAGGATAAAATTAATATTAATTTTCCTATTAAATTTGTTCGAGTGTAACTGAATTCTTGAAGAAGATTATCTAGTACTCAATATTGTTTCAGGATGCTAAGTAGAATCGTGCGAAAATATGCGGAGCATTACAACCATTTACGTATAATAACAATGGCACTTATTTCTTATCTATAGAACAGTCAATATCGCACGCAAAAAATGATAAAAAAAAAAGAATCTTTTGTAGTGGACATTGCCATCATCTCGGTACTCATTAAACTTGTCATTACTACACGGGCACCTGTATGGCTTTTATCTCTACTACTACCTTTTCCTGACAGGAAATACGTCGTAAACAGGTTAACCCACGCGATATAGAGTGGAGACAGACTCAAGTTCCTTAAGAATGAATGAAATGATAGATAACGACTGTGAAGTACAGTCGACAGAGTCGGAAAATCATCCTCTTTTTTTTATACATCAACAGCCATTCGCCGGTTTGACCTTGGCGAGTGAGAAAAGTCTCTTGCCTTGACTCGGAACCGGTGGAGGGTCCCACTTGGTTCGATGCTACTTCGTGTGTTAGGGAGTAGACGAGAGTTGTGTTGTGGATTCTACGTAACAGTGTTGGACTCATTATACGACCAACCAAGCAAATCTACAACTAAGTAAGGGAACTATGGCACTTTGCACAGTAACACTTGACACTTAAGAGAACTTTAAGCAACAAGTGGTTCCTTCGTTGGCGGTGCTAAAGGTGGCAAAATGCGAGCATGGCTTATGTCAATGTTGCAGAATGGTCCCCCAGACATGTTGCCGAGTGGCTTCGAGGTAAATTTAATTATTTTACTTCTTAAAAGTACTCCGATACGATATATGTATGGGAATGAAAGTGTCGGCCTGATATGTATCGGAATTTGTTTTTTCTTTGTCGGTGCGGTATGTGTTCTTTTTCATTGTCAAAAATTGATCAGTTTCGTTAAAAGTTGTTTATTATTTGTTTAATAGATATAAAATAGTTTATACTATTAAACTATAATAATTGTCCATATTCGTACGTGAAATAATTTTTTTTTCCCTTCCGACCAACTTTCTATTGTTTATTCTTAGAAAACTTTTTTCCTTGTCCGATGTAGTTTCGCATGAGTAATTTCGAAAAATATTTTTCCGTTTGAAATATTAAAATTATAAATTTCCTTGTGTTTTACTCGAAATTGACACAAAATATTCAATCTTTATCAGTTCCTTTAATAAAGTTACAATATATTTCATGCTATGATATACTAATCATCATTAATCCATAATTTTTTTTACACGCTGAAAACTAATTTATATTGAATATATAAATTATTATTTATGCAACTTTTTATTTTATGTGTAATTAAATATATTGTAAATATGTTTAATTATACAGAACAATATATAACTACAATATGATAATAAGTAAATATTTGTATATATCTCATTTCAATTAAAACAATGTTATAAAGTATATTTTTCTCTGATCCTTTTGAAAATAATTTATATACTGTATATGTATATAAAAACTTTTTATTCTTATTTTCCTGTATGAACAAATATAAATTCTTCTATGTCTTTTGACAATGGAGGAAAACTAATATAATTGCCACTGTTATTGAGAACAGAACAAGTTCAAAATTTCATTTTTCAAATTAGCTATGATTTTTTTTTTTATTTCTTGAGTTTGTAGCAATAATTTGTAAATCTCTGTGTAGATGTTGATATCTGTTGTAATATTTTCTTGTCTGACAGAATTAAATACATATATAAATAAATAAATATTTTAATTAATTAAAATATTTATCATTAATCTGTAGCTTGATCTATGTTTAGTACGTGAAAACTTTTAAATACAGGTTGATAACAGTCATAAATATTATTCACTTATTGACTATAAAAAGTGTAATCTTTATACAATATCCTGGATTTGGATGCAGAAACATTACATAAGTGCATATGTGGAGGCAAATAATGATTATGCAAGTACAGATATACAAGCAAATGAAGATCACACATATATGAATATTGATAAAGATCATATAAATGCAGATACTAGTTTATTAATTTTCACGTGGTTCTAACTATGCCCTTGAACTTCTAGAATTTACCTGTTCTATCAGAATGTTTCATGAATGCTTTGTAAAATTTAGCATGTAATCTTTTACAAAATTTTCTTAGATGATTTTATTTTATGTTGAAAGTAATGATTATAATCTGAAAATATTTAAAAATATTTCATAATTTCTATGAATTGCTTAGGAAAGATTATTTATTGATAAAGAAGTAAATCAAACTGTTTATGCAATTTTATATTTTTTGTATTAGTATATATGAGAATATCTACAATTTTAATTTACTTACAGTATATTTTAAGTTAATTTTTATCATATTTTTTGAATAAATAGTTTTAAATTTAAAGATTTTTTCAATTTTATAATGTTATTCAATTAAATTCATTAACAATAGTTTAATTTTATACAATAAAAGTTTCATTAAAGAATTTAAAAGTAAATTTTTAATGCAAAACATCAGCTTCAATTACAATAAATACATTTACATTCTATTCTAAAGATGTTTTTGATGTAGTAATGAACAAAAATAATTTTTGATCTTAGACAGATTAAAAAAACAATGACAATGTTGTGTAAAATACATTAAGCAACCACAGTTCTAATCACTAATAGTTTTTGAATTCATACAAAACTTAATAAGGTAAAACAACATAAGAAACATCTGAGTAAATAAAATTCAAAGATAACTTAATGATATATTATTGTGTAAAACAATAATTAAAGTCTAGATTAATAAGTATAAGTTGTTGAATTTTCAGATAACATTTACATTAGCTTTTAATTTGGCAGTTTAGATTAATCATTATTGTATAATAAATAATATTATTAAATGTAGTTTATGTAGATTTAATACATTTTTTGATATTAATTGATGAAATTTATTGTATGAAAATGGTAATATATTCTTATCGGTAAAGTGAATACCGAGACATAACACAACTGCTTGATACAAATATGTTACAATACTATAATATGTAATACAGTAAGAAATTTTATTTATTTTTCATTAAAGATTTTATTTATTTAATATACCATTTTATAAAATAGAAAATATATTTATAACTTTTATTTCAAATAAATTTAAAGGCATAAATAATGTATGCTAAAATGTATGTTATATCTATCTAATAAACTGAACAGTTGAGTTATTTTTTTTTATCTTGTAATTTTTATCACAAACAGAAATGTAAGAGATGCTTTGCATTTCTGTTTATGTTAAAAATTTTTATATATAAGTCATCTACTATATATATTCTTTGTTTATTGTAATTTGATCTTTCTCAATGATATATTTTAATATTTTAATTTAATTTTAATTCTTATCAATGCTTTTTAACAAATTTAAAATATATAACTCTATTTTAAATTTATTTAATTTTATTAGGTTTCACAATACTGTATTCAATAGTATTGTTTTACTGTCTATTCATCGTTTTAAATTAAATCAAACTTTTGAACACTTATACATTCTTGTTTTCTTAAGTTTCCTGATAGAATTATTATTATAATGTACTAAAAATATTTTGAAACAAAAGCCCTCTGAATCTATTGTTGAAATTAATAATTAAAGTATCAAAATTTGAACTAAAATTAAAAAAGTCTTAAGTTATTTATTAATCTAAAATATTTTCTAAGATTATTTCATTCTTTGTAAATTTCTGTGTTATAAATTATTTCCAGATTAAAAAATAAATTAAAAGTTTTGTAATTTTAGTTAAGTTTTAGCATTTTTTGTTAAATTATATGTATCTGTGTATTTAATTATATTTACTTCTATTTTTGTGCCAAAAATGATTCTATAAGGGCTTTATTAATTACAGAAAATAATTTTTTTTGAACTAATTCAATTGACAAGCAATAATGTATTACCAAATATGATATTTAAATAATAAATATAATAAATTTACCTCTGTTATATGATCATTATTTTCAATGTAAAAGTATTAAACATATCCTGCTTTACTTCTTGAAGTTTATGTATGTTTAAAGTTATCAAAATATATACTGTAGTTTGATAATATAATTTAGAAAGTGAATATTTAATGACATAAATTTATTAAATTGAGAAAATTAAATAGTAATTATTAAAATATATTCAAAATAAAAGAATGATATGTTTTTATATTAATTGAGATAATTATTAACAGATGGCAAATAAATAAATAAGAGAACAGTTCAATTTAAATGTTTTATTATTCTTAAACATTTTAGTATGATTGTTTACATTAAGGCATTAATTTTATCACATTGATAATTTTTAATTTTAATAATTTTTGTCTTTTCTTGTTATGTCATCTGAAGAAAAGAAAGAAATAAGGAAAAGTTCATTTATTTTAAAATTTTATTTAGATATTATTCTGTCATGGATTATATTTTACTTTTCAGTAGTATATAATCTGTGAAAATTCTAGATGCTAAATGTTTGATTTCTAATAATTAAATTCATAAGTAACTTTATAATTATTACTTATATCATAACAAGTAATTTCTAATTTTATATAAAATATATTTATACCCAAAATCAGTAAAATTAATTAATGATATGAACATTTTCATCCATTTCCCATGAACATCATCAGATATATCTTAACAAATACCAAACAGAAAGTTCTGTTTGGTATTCATTAAGATAATTTATACGTGATGATGTTTATGGGAAATGGATGATGAAAATTTTCATGTCATTAAATAATTTTACTAGTTTTGGGTGTATTTGTTTATGTCTTTCATTACTTACAACCGATTTTGGGAGAAGTGAAGGTGTAAAATACATTTATTATACTTTTTTAGTATCCAAATAATATATAATATGATATATCATGGTTTAATTCTATTGTGAAAATATTAACTATCACTGAGTAATGATCAGCAGAAATTTGTTTAATGTTTTAAATTTATTTTTAATATGATATCAGTCAGACAAAATAATTTAAAAAGCTGCTTAATTTTGGAAATCAAATAAAGTTTATTGAATAACATTGTCAACTGTATTTCAAGCTATAGATTTTAGAGCAGTGTTTCTCAACCTCTAACGAATCGTCGCCCCCTTCAATGTAGTATCGCCCCCTTTAATGAAACTGTTACGTAGTATCCATCTTCAATGAAACCATTACGTAGTATCGCCTCCTTCACTTCAAAATTCCAATGCTGAGGGCCAAGGCTAACGCCAAATTTGTACTGCATTGAATAGACTAGTGACTAGTATATTGTTATTTGTTTAATTATTGTACGATATAACAAATAAAATATCTAATTATTTTTAATATGTTTTACTATATTGCCCAAAAAATTGTTTTTTTTGCCCCCCCCAAAATATAAATTATTACAAATTGCCTCGTCAACATGGAAAAATGCCCACATGGGGGTGATATCGCCCCCCCATTGAGAAACACTGTTTTAGAGGATGGCTTGAAATAGAGCCAAAAATATTACTCAACAAACTTCATTCGATTTTCAGAATTAATTGTTTTGTTATTTATTGTTTAATTTATTGTATAATTGTTTTTAGTTATTTATTGTAATATGTTGGTGTTGAGTTTTGACTTTACATGAGATTTAATCCTTCAAAAGCTGCTTCCAGCAGTATTGAATAATTTGCAAAATTGATGAAAATTTAAAATAAAAAAATTAGAACAGTAATTATCTTGATGACATCAGTTTCACTAAGAAATAACATTGATTCAATTTCAATTTTTTCTCTACCTTTTAGCATTTCTGAGAAGATTAAAATTAGTCTAA